CTCTATCAGTGTAGTAAAGGTTTAAGTTGGTTTCCTGAGTTTAGGTTGGAAAGTCTTCCGAGAAGTATCAGGATGAGGTTTTGGAGGAAAGAACTCTCTTTGAGGCCATATGAGGTGATGATGGATGAGTGAGAGAGATAATATGTTTCTAATTTAATGCATAATTAAGAGAATGATGAGATGAGAAGGATGAGAAAGTTACCTCTACATATATAGCTTATGTCTAATCGATTAAGAGCTAGTGCAAATCCATTAGAAACGATAAAATTTGAGAGCTAGTAGTTGAAAATATCCATTGAATTAATGTCTCGCCCAACTAGGAGTTTTGGTGAGCTCAAACATTCGAATTTATAAGATTTCACTTGATCCAATCGATTAGATGCTAGCACCAATAGATTATTTTAGCCCATTTCAACATATCTTATTTTTGAGCTTTGTATTCTACACCCATGCTTGGACTTATTGTCGCCTCCCTTCTAATAGCACATAAAATACACTTTTTAGGATAGAAATAATTTATTTGAAAAGAGAAAAAAAATCCATTTGATTGTCATCATCGTATAGTCAAGTCTATTGAACCCTAATATTTAGGTTTGCATCTTTATGCGCTTAATTGCTTATAATTGACTTATTGTTACTTGTCATCACTAGAAATTAGTTGACATCATCAAAAGTTGGTGTCATTGTTAAAGCATATCACCTGCAAAACAAGGTTCCACATTCTCCCTATTTTTAATGTTGCCAATCTCTCAAGGGGGTGGTAAAATAAAAATAGCAGATATATATTTGGAGTAATTGAATTCCCCCTGAGTTAAATAGAGAGTATACCATACGCTCCCTGAGAGTATACTTCTCTCCCTTTGTCGAAATCAAAAAGGCAGGTAAAGATGCATTGCGAGAAATAAATATGCAAATATAGACAAACAAGGCATTTAGGAAAGGGAAAAAATTGAATTTTATTCAATATTTAAAAATTAAAAGTTCAAGAAGGAAATTTTGAAAGTACAAAATGAAAAACATAATCAGTTAAGAATAATTAGCACATCTCATCAACATGATCCTCGCTTGAAATTGTTGGTGAGACGAGGTTTCTACTTTCCATATTTTGAATGAGTTTGTTGATCTTTGCATTCATTGATCTTTTCTCATCGCGAATTTCGTTAAGGGTGTTTGAGGAGGATGGAGGAAGGTTGTTTTTTCTTCATGTTATTTCTCTTCTTTGTGTGTGAAGAACAAGTTCCCCTTCTTGAATAACAAACCCCACTTTTCTTATAACTACCTGCCTTATCATAGTCAGTGTAGGGCAAGATTTTCAAAATTTGTTCGAAATAGGGTACGGTAATAGTTTTCCTCTTGCTACCTAGCATGTGATGGAGTACGGCATCTTCCCAGTATTTCTCTATTTGATTTTCCTTAAACCAAACTGCAGAGATATCTTACTTATAAATGGTGATATAGTTACCCTTCCTAGGGAAAAACATATTATTCATTGTGTAATGAACCAATCTTCTATTTGGGAGAATGAGTCCAATGTTGAAGGGATTTGGAATTCCATAAGCGGGATCAATAAGAAGAGAGTGGCCATGAATGTCGAAATTAAATTTATTACCTTCAAAGTCCAGTTGATCTTAATCTTGTTCCATGAAGGGTAGGTTGCAAACTTGAGCGAAATCTTCAAGAGACAAGGTGATGGGGTATTTCTTGACTTTGGAGTTGATGATGTCATCATTGTATGAGAGATTTACGTAGAACATTCTTACTAATCAGGATACCTCTCTTGAGGTTTTTGAAATACAAAGTTCTTCAACTCGAAGAAGTTGAAGGCCTCCATGAAGGAGGGATTCTAGAAGCGATCTTCATCCAAGTAGTGAGAAAATAAAATTTCTCTATCAGTATAGTAAAGGTTTAAGTTGGTTTCCTAAGTTTGAGTAGGAAAGTCTTCCGAGAAGCATCAAGATGAGGTTTTGGAGGAAAGAATTCTCTTTGAGGCCATATGAGGTGATGATGGATGAGTGAGAGAGATAATATGTTTCTAATGTAATGCACAATTGAGAGAATGATGAGATGAGAAGGATGAAAGAGTTACCTCTACATATATAACTTCTGTCTAATCGATTAGGAGCTAGTGCAAATCGATTAGAAACGATAAAATTTGAGAGCTAGTCATTGAAAATATCCATTGAATTAATGTCTCACCCAACTAGGAGTTGTGGTGAGTTCCAACGCTCGAATTTATAAGATTTCACTTGATCTAATCGATTGGATGCTAGTACCAATCAATTATTTTAGCCATTTTCAACATATCTTATTTTCGGGCTTTATATTCTACAGCCCTACTTGGCCTTATTGTCACCTCCCTTCTAATAGCACATAAAATACACTTTTTGGGTTAGAAATAATTTATTCGAAATGAGAAAAAAATAAATTCCATTTGATTCTCATCATCGTATAGTCAAGTCCATTGAAACATAATATTTAGGTTTGCATCTTTACTCGCTTAATCGCTTATAATTTGCTTATTGTTACTTGTTATCACTAGAAATTGGTTGACATCATCTAAAGTTGTTGTCCTTGTTAAAGCATATCACAAGCAAAACAAGGTTCCACATTCTCCTCCATTTTAATGATGATAACACATCTCTAAAGGGAGGTGGTAAAATAAAAATAGCAGATATATAGTTGGAGTAACTAAATTCCCCCTTAGTTAAATAGAGAGTATATTATACGCATTATTCATTATGTAGTGAATCAATCTTCTATTTGGGCGGATGAGTCCAACGTTTAAGGCAGTTGAAATTTTAGAAGCGGGATCCATGAGAAGAGAGTGGACATGAATTTTGAAATTGAGTTCATTACCTTCAATATCCAGTTTATCCTAATCTTGTTTCATGAAGGGTAGGTCTCACACTTAAGCGAAATATTCAAGAGACAAGGTAGTGGGGTGTTTCTTGACTTTAGAGTTGATAATTTCATCCTTGTAGGTGAGATTTACGTAAAACATTCTTACTAACTCAGGGTATCTCTCTTGAGGTTTTTCAAACACAACGTTCTTCAACCCGACAAAGTTGAAGGCCTCTATGAAGGAGCAATTCTCGAAGATATCTTCATCCAAGTAGTGAGAAAACAACAGTTCTTTATCAGTGTAGTAAAGTTTGAAGTTGGTTTCCTGAGTTTGGGAGGAAAAGTCTTCTGAGAAGTATCACGATGAGGTTTGGGAGGAACGAGTTCTCTTTGAGCCTATTTCAGGTGATAATGGATGAGTGGGAGAGATAATGTTTTCAATGCAATGCAAAATTGATAGAATAATAAGATGAGAGGAATGAGAAAGTTACTCTCTCTCTCTCTATATATATATATGTGTGTGTGTGTGTGTGTGTGTGTGTGTGTGTGTGTGTGTGTGTGTGTGTGTAGATATAAATATTTATAGCTACACACACACACACACACACACACACACACACACACACACAGACACACACACACACACACACACACACACACACACACACACATATATATATATATACACACACACACACACACATAAATATATATATAGTGTCTAATTGATTATGAGCTAGTGTTAATCGATTAAAAACTATAAAAATTGATAGTTAGCTATTGAAAATAGCCATTAAGTTAATGACTCACCCAACTAGCTGTTGTGATGAGCTCCAACGTTTCAATTTCTGAGATTTCACTTGACCTAATCGATTGGATGCTAGTGACAATCGATCATTTTAGCCTATTTCACCATATCTTGTTTTTGTGATTTGTATTTTGCACCCCTACTTGGCCTTATTTTCACCTCCCTTTTAATAGCATTTAAAATACTCATTTTTTTTGTTATAAATAATTTATTTGAGATGAGCAAAAAAGTAAAATTCTATTTGATTGTCATCATCGGATAGTCAAGTCAATCAAACCCTAATTCTTAGGTTTGCACTTTTATCCGCTTAATCGCTTATACTTGATTTATTGTTACTTGTCATCACTAGACATGGTTGGCATCATCAAAAGTTGTTGTCCTTATTAAAATATATTACCTGCAAAAGAAAGTTTCATAGGTTGTACATGGAGACACTTTAACGATCAAGTCAACAAAAGTCGTGTGTTTGATGTTTTTAGTTTAGAATAATGCATACATGAGTCAGAACCGTTAGTTATACTTTATATGACACGTCTAGGGTTAAGAGGTCCAAGAACCTTCTTATCACAACAGTCTCATAAGTCAAAAGATCTTGTATGTCCTCTTATCTAATGGTCTCTAGGATCATGTCAATTCTAATTAATGACTTAAGGGACTCAATTTCGTACGAATTGGACTCCGGTTTAATCTGAAACAGTAATAGAGTGAAGTACATAAATATTCATTTGTCATGTCATGTGTGAAAGGAGAAAGTGTTAGAGTCGCCTTTAGGCCTAATCCAAACAAACTCAAAGTTATGTATAGTCAAGTCACTCTTGCATGGACAATTGTCGTCTCCGTGTATAGTCCAATTGTTGTGGGGATGGTCTCATTCATCCTATTTGAATCCTTTTTGAGACAATTCAACATTTGGAAAATTGAGCTCTCTAGACACACACCCAAGTGTCAATCCTAAAAAATTTAACATGATAAAATCATAGAGCATTGCACCTTCCCCCTTTTACATGCTTCTGCGGGATCAAATAGATAAAGTAAAATGAAAACAAAAGGAGAAAGATGCTCAAATGAAAATGGGAAACAATTCCCACTTTACACTTCTCACACAATCCTGCCTTCTATATAAACAAGTCATGATTCAAATCTCATTTTAGGCTGATTCAAATTTAAAGACATGTTCACTACAATTAATTTTAGCCCACACTAAGGATAAGGGTGTTAAGATTCATTCCTATCCTTAATAACAAAGGTAAAACGTTTCGAAGTTATAGCATAAAGTGGAATTGAAGAACAAACAACATGTGTATCTAAGGTTGTGTTCTTGATAGAACAATACAATATATCGAAAACAAATCTAAATAGAAGAAAAATTACCATCACTTTTCAAACCATGGCAATCAAAACCACACCCACACCGAGGAATCTCTAAGAAGTTATCAACACTAAATTCAGCAGAAACAATACCAACAGAAAACTCAAGATCATCACCATGACGAGTCACCTCCACAATTTTAAGCCATATGAGTTCAACTTTAACACTAATACCTTTCAATTTACTGAGTTTACCCTTGGAGATAAATCCCTTGATAGTGGATTTGTACTTGAGATCGTAAGATTTTATACCGAAGATGCAGGTTCCTTCAAAATACACAGAAAACTTGCCTGTGTTTTTGTTTAGCTCGTAGCTTGTGGCACCTTGTGGAAGAATACCAACTGGGAAATCGTATTGCTCAAGGATTTCGTAGACAGAGAGATTCTCGTTTTGGTTTGATGCGTTTGAGGTTGTCGAGAAGATTAGAATGGAGAGAAATATGATTGAAGATTTCATCATCACGTTTGTATTTGTTAAGATTGTTTGATGCTTATGACTATTCACTTTTGCCTTTGACTATTTGGAGGTTTTTGTCTCGGTGTGATGAGAATATTCTAACAATAATTCGTGCAACTCGTGTAGCATGCAGCAACAAAGAAAAACAAGTGGACAAGATTTTCCACACATAAAGAAAAGGACACGTTGTCAAAAACCTTTGAACATATTTATTTTCACAGAAATTTTAGGTGAGTTGAATTTTGAATTTTTGTTTAAAAAAAAAATTTCGTTGATACTCTATAAATCAAGAATAGTATATAAATTAATTACTCGAGTCGAGCTGAATTACAATGTATAAGAGATTTGAAATTAAATTTTGAATAATGTGTGAAAGTAGGATCAAAAGAATTATTGAAAAGTCATTTTACCTAAAAGACTTTTTTTAATATTATTATTATTATTATTATTGATTCAATTATTAGCAACTTTCATTATTAGCAACTAGCAACAACCCTAACACAAACATTCCATCACGTATTCACGCATTCGAGTCAAGTTAGACTAGCACCAAAAATTGCATTGACATGTCACACACAATTCAAGCACCTAACTAAGCCATAAACAACAAAGTAGTCAAGTTCTACTTAAGTCATAAACAACAAAGTAGTCAAGTTCTACTTGATTCCATAACCTTTCAACACATTTAGTTGGCATAACCATGTGATTCATCATGTTTTCCTAACTCACCATCAATTAACCCTAACTATTCAAATGACATAACATAAAAAATCACCAAGTTCAACTAATGTTTCCAAATCAACAAACATAACAATTCATCAATGTGCCAAGCATTGCAACTAGACTAATTTCTTCAACACTATCAGTATAAGTTCATATAACTTCAACACTAACTGTAACAGCACCATCATAATTCCCTAAATAAGACGACACAAGTTCATGAATAATCCAATGTTTTAGCCTTTTTTTCAAAAGGTGACATGATAGTACTGATTCAATTCATAACAGCTAACTTCATTTCTAACACAATTAACCAAAACTCAAATTTTCACTAATTCATAGATTTGGTCTTGAAAATGTGTAACTAATAAGTTGTGGAAAAATTGTTTAGTTAAACAACCAACTTCACTTTCTATTCTTTCTTTTAAATTAATCATTTTCGGCGAATATTATTTATTCACTGAGCTTGTGCTTTTATACATTTGTTTCTTCCAGATGCCTCACTTGTTGATTTCCTTTTGCCAGTACTTTTAGAAGAAACTGGAACTGTATATATTTCCGAAAACAATATTTTCAAGATCTCAAAATTTCTAGTAACATTTCTAAACCTAGTCTTCAGGGCAAACATGTCCTCCTGCAAATTTATAACATTTGAGAATAAGCAACAAAAAAAATATTAAAATTTACTTAGAAAATAAATGCATTTACCATAGCACAACTAACTCGCTCAGCGGAACCAGTGTCATAGTCGAAATACACACTCTTCATCCCTTTATTCTATGTGTTTGACACCTGCTCTAGTTTTTAATGACAACCAAAAACTATATTTTTTTAATCAATATACTGATAGAAATTGACCGCAGAAAACTACATTTTTCAATCATCATGTTGAGACAAATGTTTCAAAAGCTATAATGAAAGATCCATGGCTTCATGAGAAGAAGATCCAAAGCTATAATGAGGAAAGGATGGTGGGGGACTTCCATAAAAGGCTTCAAAATGAGACATGTGATGGAGCTATGGAGAGCTTTGTTATACCAGAATTCAGTCAGATGGAAGTGTTTAAACCAATGTTTTGGCTGGTCATTTGTGAAACAACGAAGATATGTCTCTAAACAACGATTAACAACCTATATTTGGTTGTTTGCTTCAGGGTGATAGATTGTATTATACTTTAAAGTTGTGCCTTGGGCGCGAAACAACTTCTTCCAAAAAGTACTGAGGAAAAGAGGATCACGACCAGAGATTACGGATTTTGAAATACCATGAAGACGATAAATTTCTACTGAGAAATGCAAAGCCAGATCCTTTGCTAAGAATTCGGTGAGGAGTGCAATAAAGTGAAAAAACTTCGTGAGCTTATCACAGATCACCCAGATCACTGTATGACCAAAAGAAACAGGTAAATGTATAATAAAGTTCATTGTTAAGTCTTCCTGCACTTGGTTTGGTATGGGTAGGGGTTGGAGAAGGCCTTGTTTCTTCTTGGTTAGATATTTGTTTTCTTGACATACCGAACAACTTTGAATAAATTTTTTTGTGTCTTTGTATATGCCTGGCCAGAGAAAGGAAGAAGACAGGCAAGCCAAGGTTGGTTGGAGCCTAGAGTGACCAGCGACAAGGGTAGAATGAAATTCCTTAAAATGTTTGGAGTAACTCTTCAACCAGAGGTATGTAGATCTTGTCTTTGTAATATAAAAGTTCATCTTTGACTTGAAAAGGAGGATGTGTAGCTGGTTCAATTAAGACTTTACTCATGAAGGTTTGACCTTCTTGTTATGTTTCGTAGTATTATTTGAGCTGAGTGACTAGGAGTGGGACTGGTGAAGAGATCGACAACAGAACGACTTCATCTTCAGTGTGAATGCGGCTTAGAGCATCAACAACTTGGTTAGACTTCCCAGGTTTGTAAAAAATTTCAAAATGAAAGCCTTGTAACTTAGCAACTCATTTCTGTTGTTCGGGAGTTTGAATAGTCTGAACTAATAGATTTCTTAAACTTTTCTGATCAGTATAGATGTGGAAATGTCTGTCAATCAAGTATTGACACCATTTTTTTTACAGATTTTGTAATGGCGTACATCTCGCGGACATACACTGATGAAGCTTGAAGACGGTTGCACAATTTCTTACTGAAGAAATCCAAGGGGTGTTAATTTTGAGATAAAACAGCGCCAACCGCGACAGCTAAAGCATCTGTCTCAAGCACAAAGATTTAGGAGAAATTTGAAAGACACAAAATTAAGGTTTCTGTTATTTTCTGTTTTAATGTTGTAAAAGTTGACTCGGTTGATGTACTCCAAACTAATTTAGAGGAACACAATAAAACGGTAAGAGGAGCAGCGAGAGAAGCGTAATGATGAACAAATCGTCGATAAAACCCGGTGAGGCCTAAAAAACCCATGAGAGTCATGAGAGAGCATGGCCTAGGCCAGTTGATTATTGCTTGAATCTTTTCCGGATTTGGGGTTACACCTTCACTTGAGATAATATGCCCTAAGTAATCAACAATAGGAACAACAAAAACACATTTGGATATATAAAACTTATTGGATAAAAGTAAATCTAAAACCAACTTTAAATGAAGAACATGCTCAGAAATGCAAGAATTGTAAATTAAAATATCGTCAAAGAAAACTAAAACAAACCAGTGTAAATATGGTCGAAGCAAATCATTCATTCTCGATTGAAAGGAACTGGGAGCATTAGTTAGACTAAATGGGCATAAACAAAAACTCACAGTGCCCATCAAACGTTCTAAATGTTGTTTTGTGCGTGTCATTTGGCGCTACCCTGATTTGGTGATAACCAGATTGTAGATCAATTTTAGGAAAAATAGTTACCAAACCCAATTCATCAAATAGTTCATCTATGGTAGGGATTGGAAAATGGTATCGAACTGTGACCGTGTTGAGGGATCTATAATCAACGCAAAAACACCATGAGCCATATTTTTTTTAGAACTAAAAGCACAGGGGAGGAATAAGGGTTGTTACTGGGTTTGATAATACCCTTAAGCAGCATGACATGAATGATAGTTCTCATGGCTTCTTTTTGTGAATGTGGATATCGGTATGGCTTAACATTAATGGGAGCAATGTTAGGAATAATGGGAATATGGTGGTCAAGTGGCCTTGTGGGAGGAACGCCTTGTGGTTGTTGGAAAACAGCAACATAGGATTTTAAAATATATGTGATTTGGTTGGGTAAGGATGTGGGTATTGACTAAAGAGGGTTTGTGGAGAGTTAGAATGATGTTCTTGGGAAGGTTGGTAAAGGAGGAGGAGGATGGAAGCAATTGAGTCTGTGTGTAAGAGAGGAAAAATTGATTGTCGGAAGAGTGGGATGGTAGAGATTTAAGGTCACCGTGTTGACTCCTAATTTTGACGCCTGAATGAAGTTAAAAGTAACAAATAGAGTTTCCTGAAGAAATCTAACTACTTCGACTAGAGCTATGTTTTGAAATGAGAGTCGAAGGCGTCCTTTTGCCAGGAGAGTCTGGACTTAGAGATATTCCTCAGCAGTTAAAAGACCCGATTCGACAGAAGCGTTGCTAGGGGTATTTCGACGAGTTCATTTGAATTCAAATAAAATATGGAAAGTCTGTTTTTAAGAAAGACACGTGAAGCGCCCCTATGATTCTAAGGCATGCACAAAGACACTTGTCTTGATTTCGTTTGTTAGCCGTTAAAGGTAATTATGTTTGATTGTTATAAATAGGAGGTCTTAGTGTTAAGATTTGTGTGTATTCAATTTTGTACAAATTCTTCAATATACTCCAAGTACCTGTGTGATTGAGAGAAACGAGTTTGTAAGAATGTACGTTGACTAAACACCAGTTTTTTATTTCAATTCAATTTGAGAAATCTCTTTATTTAAGAATTTATCCTTTCTTTATGCAAGTTCTTATCTTCTTCATTTACCAGCATTTTGATTTCACTTATTGTCACTTAAATTCATTGATATTGGAAATAAGTTGTTTTATCATGGACATTATCGAAGTGTTCATAGTTGTCATAAACTTCATTTAAGATCAATTAGCATATGTCCTAGGATTTGTGTGGTCGATCCTGCAAGTAAAACAAATCTTTTTTCGATTTTTAAGATCATCGGTTGTTCACCAATTTTCACGGTGAACACACTGGTGATAGTAATTTCATTATTTTGATAAGTGAATGAAATCTTTGGAATTGAAAGTCAACTATGAGGGGACCGAGGGTACGTAACAATTCCATTCCAAGGATAACATTTGCACATTCTATAGGAAGTAAGTGGAATGGGAT